CTGCCATTACTTAACTGCGATCTTGGACAAGTTATTTAACCTCTTTGGAAGTTGGTGTTTTCTAATCTGCAAAATGGGGACATAGTAGTACTTACCTCAGGATTACTGTTCTAAGTAAGATAATGAATGCAAAGTGTTCAACACAATGCCTGGAACATGGTATTAATAGTCACTATAATTAATTACTGTAGAACAAAGCACAAGCCCTTCCTCTGCTAACCTTCCTGCCAAACAAAGTTGGCAGGACACCTTATCATAGGGCTCAGGGAGGCCCCAAGTCCCATCAAGCAAGGCTGGGGACAATGAAGCGAAATTAGCTCTACTCTCTCTCACTGGCTAACCCTGATGCCCAGAACTTTCTATATATCACAGGAATGCCAAACACAAAGACCATCATATTTGGGGGTGGGGGGGGGGGCGGGAAGCAAAAACAAAAAACAAACAAAACTAACAGATCTAGAACCTTCAGAAAGAGGTTTAAGCTCAAAAGGTGATTTCTATAAAGCCACATAACTGCATGGACTGGTTCAAAGTCCTCACCCAAATTAAGATCGCCTGAGTCTAAACTCGGTTTAAACTGTCCAGTTTCAATTATTTCCTAGAAGTTAAGATTATTTACCTGACACTAATTTCTTACCTAGCTTATCTCCAGCCCTCCACTAACTAAACTCAGTAGGCTCTCTCTTTGAAGAACTACCTCCTCTTAGTAAGGCTCAGGAAAACATGTGCATTAACCTAGAGAGGCCAGACAATGGAGAAAGCAAAGAATAAAAAAAGATCTTCATGAATTATTTCTTCATTCAACAAATTAACAACAATATTTGTGCATGCATACATGTATGTGCATACATGTGTACACACACACACACACACCCTAGGTACTGTAATGGGATCCAGGGCTACATAAGTTAACAAAACAAGATAAAATAGTATTCCTATTAGGAAATATCTTCACAACTTGCAAGAAAAAGAGATGCCTATGCTCTAGAGTACCTACTATGACGTTATGGAATTTTATATCTTTTGGTCCTGACACACCAAAAAGAAATCCAAATCCCATTCATCTAATAAAACTGTACACTTTCTGCTGACACTCACATAGGTTGCATCTTTAATCATAACCTTTAAACTAGTTTCCAAGAATGGAGCTTCCTAGGCTTAAACTTGCTCCCCCAACCCAGAAGTATGGCACTTTGGGCATAATGCTTCCAAGTAGACAAACTTTCCCAAGGCAATCATGGTAAATGTGACAGCTAAAGCTAAAGGCAACTGAAACCCATGAATTCTCCCTCTCCCTCACACCTCAAAATACCATCCAAAGGGTGCCCATGTTCCTGCTTGACCTGTAGGATTAGGGATGGGGAAAAATAAAATGGCTGATGCCTCTAACCATCATAGTTTCTATTTTAACCTCAAAGCTGCAGTCGAAGAAAACTTCCAATCTGCCTACCATTCCTGACCCCAGCACTGGGAATGAGTGGTATGCTCCTCCCTTAAGATAAAGACCTTTAATGCCACATCCATCTACTGAGATCAAAGGAACCCCTAAAAGAGAGAATTCAGCCTCACCATGACCCAACAGCAGTCCTGGAAGCTCTTTGGGGACACCTCACATTGTCTTTTATGTGAATCAGACCCTTTCCAGAACCCCAATGGGCTACAGGGAACTTGGAGGGAGTTCAGTGAGAGTCATCAGGATGACACAGAGGTTAGAAACCATCTTGATGCCCAATTTTAAGAGTTTGGGATTTTTTATTTTTAGTCTTGAAAACAAAAAACTGAATAACCTAAAGGAATATTTTAAGTATTAGTAAGTGGTCCTTTTAAATAGGCAACTGAGTGATACCATATTTTGCCTCGTATAATGCATGCCCAAACTTGCAGGAAAAATTTTTTTTAAATTTTTAAATTTGATTTTTAATTTACATTTAGATATTTGGTTTTTGTATCATAAAGGAAGTTTAGCATTTACTTTTGAACATATGGTACATTAGAAATTTTATTTAATAAATAACTACAAAACACAAGGATACAAGGTATTTCAGGTACTACTCATATATAATGTACATCCTTATTTTTCCCTCAAAAAATTGGGCAAAAAAGTGCACATTATACAGCAAAATATGGTACTCCATCTCGATTCAGAAACTTGAAAAAAGAACACACCAAAAAACCAAAACTCTATGTCAGGAAGGTGATTTGCATAGAAGAGTTTTTCAGAGGTTGACTGTGTCTTTTCTTTTTCCATTATGTAAAGCTCTTGGTTATAAACCCAGTGGACAAGAGGTGGCCAGGTTTTATCTGATGCTTTTCTTACGGGTAGAGGCCTCGCCCAGGATTTCTTAACACAGCCAACTTTAGGTGGAAAAAATCCGTGTGGGTTCGAGTTAGGGCAACTCTAACCTTCACGCCACGATGGTTGAAATCCATGAAGGCCCAGAACATAGGAACTTAGATTCGAACGATATAGCAAAAACCTAAAATAGTAGAGAAATGTAAAAAGTACTTTTCTCCCTTCGCCTATTTCATCACATCAAGGAAAACTGATAAAAGATTTCTCATGAGTAACAACCGACCTCAGGTAGGAAGGTCAGATGCGAAAAGCAGGGCTCACTCTCTCCCTCACTACTCAGGTGGCGCAGGATGCTAACCGCGGACCCAGTGGACCCGACTCCAAAAGGGCCATGGTGAGCTTCCCTGGGCTCGCCGCCGGGCCTTCCCAGGTTCCGGCCTCCGCCTGCATCTCCGGTCTCCGAAGGCCTTCACGTGGCCCAAAGTCCACGCCCACCAGGCCCAGTTAGGGCGTTGGGGCCTGCTCTCCGGGAACCAAAAGATTTCAGCGGGTGGTAGGCCGAATCGCAAGGGGTTTCTCGGAGGCCCCAGGGCTTCGCGCCGGCAGTGTGGGCCAGCAGTCCTCCCCAGGCCCGGACGGCAGTTCCAAGGGAGCCAATTAGGCCGGCCGGGGCCTGCATGACACAGCACGATCTGGCCCAGGCCCCGACCCGGGCCCAACGCAAACCCCGCCTAGGGGGCGCGCGGGTGCGTAGACCAGCGGAGCCCGGCCACAGCCCCTCCTTCGCCCCCGTCCTCTCCTCTCCTTCCAAGTCTCCCTTTCCTGGTTTCCACCTCTTAGACGCTTCCACTGCCAGGCCCGGCCGGGCCTACCCAGCACCGAAGGGCCCCCGGCTGCGCGCACCCACAGCGAGCGGGGGGTCTCGCGCGCGCATACACATTCACACGCACTCACTCAGCTCCCGAGGCCATGGCGCGCGCCTCTCCCGGCCGGCGGCTGTGGCGGCCCGCGAGTAACGGCTACAGGGGGTAGCAGGCGACCGACTGGACTGGGTCTCGGCTCCCTCAGGCGGGTGGCGAGCAGCAGCGACAAACCCGCAGGCAGCCTCCCTCTCACTTCCTCCCAGCGGCACCCGTGCGGTGGGCGGGCAGGAGACGTTGATTCCTGACCCGCGAGTGGGCAGCAACAGCGACGACTCAAACGACGGCTGCAGACGCTTCACTGAGACCGAGCCGAGAAGAGCCGAATCATCGGAAGAAGAGGTGCTCTAACCTCAGCCAATCAGCGCCTGCCCTAGGGACTTCCGCCCGCCTCTCAGCGCCTCTCCCCAGCAACTCGCGGACCAGAGCCAATCAGGAAATTCGTTTTGGCCTGGCTCCCGCCTCAGGGATGCAACACGTCTGGTAACGCCACGTCAATTGGCCACAACGCTGCGCTTCCTCGATGGATTGGAATTCTCGACCAATTAAAGAAAGGAGTGAAGCCAGAACGACTGGCGAGAGGAGTGTTTAATCCCCTGGAGGCGGACTCGCCCACTTGGCTCCAGTTCATTGGCTCTTGAGTTTTTTGTGCTGGAAAAAGACCTGGCACAATGGATTGACCCCATGTATTAGTCTAGTACTGTTGCAGTGATAACAAACACCCTTATCTTCTTCCAAAACCTGAGGATTCACCCTAACCCCCCTCCTTGCACCTTCAAAACTCTGGTTCAGGCTACCCCCTTCCTACTTTGGGACCCTTTGACTAGCACCAGTTTTTGTTTTTTAAATTTTACAGAGGGGAAGGGAGAAAAGGAAACAATGATGTGAGAAACATCGATCACCTCCTGTAGTGCCCCACCTGGGGACTGAACTCACAACCCAAGCATGTGTCCCAACAGGGAACTGAACCAGCATCCTTTCACTTCGTGGGATGACACCCAACCAACTGAGCGACACCAGTCAGGGCAGCAACCCAGCTCTTAATCCGCCTGTATCCTTTAGTTGTTCAACCCTCCGGTAACCCTAATCTGACAAGACTTTACGGTTCCTCAGAGCTTGGAGGTCTATGCTTTCTCTTACCACTGAACATTAATATTAATGGTTTGAGGAGGGAGGGCACTCAAATCCAGAAAGGGGTCAAAAGGCTACCACACAACACATAACATTCAATAGAGCCCAAAGCAGCAAGGAAATTGCATGCCAAGTTGAAGTTCTTGGGCCCAAAATACCAGCTAGCTCTGACTATATTCAATAGGCAACTCTGGTAGCACAGTAACTGGATTCACCCTTCGTCGTTTTCCAAAGACACATTTGACTGAGGCAGTTGATTCTCCTATTTCTAGAATTTAGGATTAAGGAGGAGTTTGGAAGTCAGAGACTCAGATCTGCTTGTCTCTCCCTCTAAGAATCAACTACCTGCCCTTGCCAAGACAGACCTGCCCAGACCACCTTCCAGATCCACCTCCACTCATTCTATCACCTCATAGAGGATCCTGGGCTTTGGGGCTCTGCTTTTAGACAACAAGAAGGACTAAAGTTATTGCTTTCTGAGTAAGAATTCCTGTAGCCCTTTCTTCTACCCTAAACTTCAAGTCATAAGGTAGATGATGAAGGGAGAGGGCATCTTAGACAGCCAGCACTTAACTAAATCAGACAGCTGTAAGCTTCCCTTGAGTAGTCTGCTTACTAAAGTATATGTAGTAAGCAGAGAAGAGATAGATATGAGATTTTACTCAATACAAGAAAAGGGGAAACAGGAAAAAAAGGTACCATGAGCAAAGTCAATGCCTTATTGGTTGGGGGGTGGGGGGGGGGGGTCCTCTGGAACCAGATGCCAGTAACTAGGCCAAAAAATTTTGCAGGCATACCACCAACTTCTCGAAAGCCCTCCCCATAGAAAGATGGCCCACTGGGGGCCCAAGCTCAGACTCTTCAAAACTTGGCAGCTACAGGTCACAAGGCTCCTGCAGAGATGTACCAAACTCTTCAAGAAGGGCTTCACGGTCAGGAGGACGAATCCAGCTCAAACAGGTTTCAAGGTACAAGGGGAGAGACCTGGAAAGCAAGAAGGGTGAGGCCTAAGAGTGAAGGACAGACAGAAGGTTGAGCAGCCTTTCCTCCCTTTCACTCACCACCACCCTCCCCAATGGGCCCATGATTCCAGGACACCCCACTGCCCATCAGAACCAACCCAGCAGGACTCAGCCTCACCATGTAGCATTCTCCTGTGGCAGCTTAGCTTGGGCTTCTAGCTTCTGCCAAAGAGCAGTAGCCTCATCCCTCCGATCCAGCCTCTTCAGAGTCTGAAGCAGATGAAAGGAAGCGTCTCCATTACCTGTAGCCCCACCCCAGAGTACAGAGTCTTAGAACCTGACCCAGTCTTAAACATCATTTTATAAAAGGGGAAACTGAGGCATAAAGCAGGGCAATGCCTTGCCTACCATCACACACTGAACCAGGAGTAGATCATTCCTGACTATTCCTATCCCTAAGCACTACCTGCCCAGGACAAAGAGCTCAGCTAATTCTGTTCCTGCACAACACATTCCCAATGTAGTCATTGTCTTTGTGTTTGAGGACATTGGGAAGACTGGGGAACTCCTGAGAGGCCTTCATACACACTTGCACATGTCTTGTGTATGTCTGTACACTTAGGTATGTCCCTAGGTACATACAGCACAATCCCCTTCACCCCTCCTACATAGGAACATCACTTAGTACCTCCCTCATGGACATCTTTGTGCACCTGTGCATAGCCAACATCATGCAAGTATACATACCTGGGTACACCTGCACACTGAGGAGGAAGTCCTGTAGCGCTTTGGTATCCTGGCCACTGGCCCCCCATTCTAGTCCACGACTAATCAAGGCAGCTGCCCGAAGCTGTTGTAGCTCCACATCTGACGTATACCCCTGCTCACAGTTGGAAGCAGGCCCTGGGGACCACCCCCAAAGTCAAGAAGTGTGTTCCCAGCCACATAGTCACTAAAACCCCTAGTCCCCCTCTATCTTTCTTGTGTCCAGAGTCGTTTTCTCTTAAATTTCCCAGTGGGCTAGGACACATGAAAAGGGAACTGATATCTACCATCACCACTTCTAGTAGGAAAGAGGAAAATTGAGAGTCTAGATCACCTTGTTCTTTGTCCTTAGGTGTGTCCCGGAAGAGCAGCTCGAGGCACCTAAAGTGAGACATAGAGCAAAAATGAAGAGGAGTCAAGCTCAGAAACTCTGGGGTGCACAGGTAAGATTGGAGCTCACCAATGAATATTTATCCCTCCACACTTCCCCAAGGGCCCTGGTTGGTTTCTAGGGCTCACCGGCTAAATTCACTAATTGCCTGTTTTTGGTCTCCTAGTTGCACCCAGGCTTGGCCCTGAAGCAGGTAGGTGGCAGAGACCCAGGATGGGCACTGTGGTGACTCCTTGGTCCCTTTTCTTGCATCTTTCCATGGTTGGGGCATCTTGGGAAGCAGAGATGATGTGCGGCTCAGCAACTCCTCACATACTGTCAAAGCATCCTGAGCTCGGCCTGCCTGGATCAGTGCTGCTGCCGCCTCCAAGAACACCTCAGGCATACAGGGCCCTGGGGGGCAGGTGGGTGGGGAGAACTGGGGTGGGAGAAAGATGCAGTGTCTTGAAGTAATATGAGCCTCCACCCCCAACCTCTTCACCAGGCTCTGGTACCATATGGAGACCACCCACTGCTTGCTGCCCTGGATTCCTTGCTCTGGGAAGACTTCCTGGTCTGCCCCCAACTCTGGACAGACAGAAGAAGATAAAACAGAACAGCAGTCCTGATCTACTCCAAAGGAGACTCCAACCCTTTCCTACCCCAACTGCCAAGAACCTTGAAGATATACCCACCTTTGGCTCCGAGCCATCCAGCAACAGGGCCAGCAGGTCCAAGTAATGCTCTACAGCGTCTTCTGCCCTGAGGAGTCATAGCCCATGAGCCTTACATTAGACCCTTGCTGGGTCCTCAGAGGGCTCTTAGCTAAGTAAGGGATGCTCAAGAGCCTTGGGGAGTGGGTCTTGGAGCTCCAGTCTTGACTCAGTATTAATATACCCTCCTTACAGAATGGGTTTTGGAGACTTCAGAGTTTTAAAGATACAGGTTAGTGTCCGGGGAAAGAGTTCTCAGTTCAGGTCCAGTGGCAAGGCAGGAGGTTGAGGAGTGGAGACCTATGTCCTGCCACTGACTCATCTATCCCACTGACTCACATGAACAGAAACAAAGTCACACCCCAGGGAGGTAACAGAAGTGGGAAGAAGAGCTCACGTGAGCAACAGAACCTCACCTTCCCATCTGTAGACATCGGCTTGCTAGCAGGTATTTGACCTGGCTCGGTGTACCACAGTGAAGGGGTGAGGCTGGGTCAGGTCGTGGGAGTAGCAACTCTACCTCAATAAGAAAATGGGGGACTTCAGAGCTGGGAATGACATTCAAAGCCTAAAAGGGACAAAAGAAGAAAGTATATCTATAATCTTTGGGAGCCATACTTCCCTCTACTTATACTTCATTAGTCTCGTCCACACAAGCACCTCAGCAATCCCCATATCTTCAGTTGGTACAGTTCCTTACCTCAACCAGAAGTTCCAGACTCTCCAGCTCTGCCGCTGTGTTCCCCAGTTGCCGATATAGCCTTGAGGCCTCCAGAAGTGGGGGACCACAGATCGACTCCCCTTTCAGGGCTGCAACCAAGTATAGCAGAGCTCTCTGTGGACTGCCCTAGAGGGGTGAGAGGACACAAGCCTCAGCCACCCTCACAAATAAAAAAGCTGTCTATAACACCCATGGTTTCCCTAACCCACCCTAGCATTGTCTTTACCATCTTTCGGAGACAGGTCCCCAGTGCTGTGTACACCTGGACCAACACAGGCCGTGGGCACAGACCTGAGGCCGCTTCATACAGGCTGCTCAGTGCCCTGGGCAGACTCCCTGTGATCAGCTCCTGGAGGCCTGACAGGAATCAGAGTATGAGCTTAGACAGGCCACAGGGCATGAGTCAAATAAGACATGACAGGAAAGTTATGAGCCTAGAGGCCCCTTAAAATGGGGAGTGGTGGGGAAGGAATGAGTTAGATTGCTAACTGACCTTGGCGAAAGGCAGATGCTGTCAGAAGGACATCCCTCAATCCCTGGGCATCCTGCAGGGTCAGTGGATCATCTGATGCCTTAGCAGGGGGGTTCCAAGTTTTTAGAAGGAGCAGCAGATCCCCAGAGGCCTCACTCTGGGGAGAGAAGGACCATCAGAGGATCCAAGCCTATAACTCTTTCTTCTTCTGTCTCAGTCTATCCTGGTTGGACCTTGAATTCAAAGGTCCTCCTGACTCCTGTTCCCTCAATTCTAAGAGACTGGTAGCTGTGGGGAAAGGATAAAGGGAGGAAGACAAACCTGGGGCAATGATAATATATTCTAGTGCACCTCCTCACTCAGGATAAGTCCATGAGGACACAGGGCAAGGACCATGTTTGAGTTACTTATGAAAAGACTGAGACTGGGAAGTGACTTCAACATGATCATGAAAGCCCTAACCCTATCCAAGATTATTAAGCTATTTTAAAAACACACCCAAGAGAATCCCTCCCATGTGGGATCAACCATAGCAAGGTCACCTAAGATTCCTTGAGATAACCCAGGTCTAGTGACTACCAATCCAGCACCCTTTCCAGCACATAATGATGCTACTGCAGCTTGGAGAGGAGAGGGGAAGGAAAATATCCTTACTTTGATCCAGGTCACTTCCCAAATTACCTGGCTACCATTCAGAGTCTGCAGCAGCAAGGTCAGGTCCCCAAGACGATCAGTGCTTAACCAGAGGGCAGCCTGCAGGCCAGCCAGGTGATGAAGGGCAGGGAGCAGCTCCGGTGGAAGGGAGGACACGTGAAGGACAGAATTCCACAGCTCCATGAGTCTACCTTCCAGCCTGGGCCCCAGCTGCTTCTGGGTTTCCAGCACTATAGAGTACACACACATACAGCTGAGACAGGACCTCATCTCTGGCTTTCCTTTTATGCAGGAACACAAAGATGCTCCTAGTCTGAGGAGCACATGGAGGGTTGGAGAAGGGCATCTCCCTTCGTGGAGGTGACAGATTATGTGGTTCCTCCCATTCTCCTTGTAAGGACTGAGGCTGGCAGGGGTATGGGAGAGAATCTCTGGACCTCACCTCTCTCTAGGCCATGTTGGATATCCTGTGCCTGGTCCTCAGTGAAACCCTGGGCCAGGCTCACCTTCAAAGTAGTAAAGTTGCAGATAACAGTCAGTTCCAAGGGGAGAACAAGAACTGCTGCAGGGAGCCCTAGAGTGACAAATGCTGGTCTCACAGGCTGCTCCCCCATGAAAAATTCCCTGAATAAGGCCCCAAACCACAGATCACCCCATCTCAACTAAATGGCCTCCAAAAAGAACGTGCCCTTTGGACAAAGTTTGGAAAGGGCAGAAAGTTCTCCAGATTAAACCACTCTGGGAATCACTTCTTCAAATGCTGCTGCTGTGTGTGTGCATATAATAAGGAGATAATCCTGTACAAAGATGATCCACTCCAGTCCTTTCTGTGCCCCTGTCCCGAGTAATTGCCTCAATCCCAGAAGTGGAGAGAAGAGGAACTAGTCTCTGGATGCGGAGGGTGTATATGTTGGGGGGCACGGGGGAAGGGCAGTACTGACCACCCTGGGGAGGACCCTGCTTACCCAGCAGACTATGGAGGAGTCCCCTGAACCCTTCCAGCGCATCTTGAGCCAACTGCTGTCGCCTCAGAGACAGACCCGAGTCCTGAGCCACCTGTCAAACATAGGGTGTAGTGTCGCTGTGAATAAGTCCTTTTCTCCTCTCCTGCAGCAGTGGCAAGGGATGTCCTTCTCCAGTCATTTCTGGCTTTAAGGGGAGGTCAAGCTCAGACTTCCCGCCCCCATTCGCTGGGGTAAATCCACAGCAAACCCTCTTTCTGGTATTTTGGGGCTGAAAAGCCAGGGTCCAAGCAAGAGCGTTACCTTGGCCTGTCGAACTAGCCGGTCATTCTCTGCCCTCCACAGGTCCAGGCAGTTGACTTGCGGCACTGAGGAACCCAGAGGGGTCTGGTGGGACATGGTGGCCGAGGCTGGGCCCGGACACCTGGAGAGGCCTGCAAAAGGGTCAGCCCATTGCCCCACAGTACCCACACGAGCTGGGAGGAGCCCGTGCACCTCCGCACCCCACCGCGTTTCCTTTGCTCCGAGCCGGGAGAACCCGACCCTCTCCCAGCAGCCAGGCCGGGCTCTCTCCCCTTCGCCTCTGGTTGGCCGGGCCGACAAAACTCGGCTGTGGTTGGTCGTCTTCAAGGGATAGTGCCCGCGGGAAACTCGAAAAACAAATGAGTCCGGACAGACCAGTGAGGAAGGCTGAGGCGGGCAGGAAGCGGGAGGCGTGTCTGATAAAGTAGTTCTTACAGCTCAGTGGTCCACCGTTTGGCTTGTAGGCCTTGAGAGACCGATGTCGAAACCAGATCCCGAGGCTCAGCTCTTCCTCCCCAGGCACGCTCCCAGGTCTGTTGGGTTTCCCCTCCCTCTGAGGAGGGCAGGCCCGCGCGATGCATGCTGGGAGTCGCAGTACCGCTGACAGCCGCTTGAAAAATCCGGCGGGGAGCAAGTGTCTCCCAAAGCAACTGACTGGAGTCCAAGGCTCGGTAATAGGGCCATCCTTCCTCTGCTCACCATAGAGCATCATCAACACGCTCACCGCATGCAGTCTGACTGCTGGCACCGCGGCCCTGTGTTTGTGCAGCCTGCATTGCTCACACGTTTTATCTGCTCAATCCTTTCAGAAAATGCAGATAGGAGAGCTGGATATTCGAATGCCACACATAAAGTCAATTCAAAATGGACAGGTTGGACCTTATTAAAATTAAAAATTCATGCTATAGCCCTGGCTGGTGTGGCTCACTGGATTGAGCGCAGGCCTATAAACTGTAAGGTCTCCAGTTCGAACCCTGTCAGAGAACATGCATGGATTGCAGGCAGGTCCCCAGCTGGGGGCTTGCAAGAGGCAACCTATGAATGTTTCTCTCACACATCGATGTTTCTCTCCCTCTCTTTATCCCTCCCTTCCCCCTCTCTAAAAATAAATAAGATCTTTAAAAGCAAAACAACAACAACAACAACAACAAAACCCTCTCATGCTACCAAGACACCATCAAGAAAGTTCAACTACAAAGTGGTAAAAATATTTGCAAATCATATACTTTATAATGGACTTACTACTCTCAAAGATCAATAATACTTATTTGAACCATTTTAAGGCGGCAGAAAAATATGAATAGACAGTTTACCAACAGGATACACGAATGGCTAAGAAGCACACACAAAAAAATGCTCAACATCATTAGCCATCAAAAAAATTGGATAAAATGAACTTCATCAAAACTTAAAAATTTTGGCCCTGACTGGTGTAGCTCAGTGGATTGAGCTCGGGCTGTAAACCAAAGGGTCACCAGTTCGATTCCCAGTCAGGGAATATGTCTGGGTTGCAGGCCAGAACCCCAGTGGGGGCCAGGTGAGAGGCAACCACACATTGATGTTTCTCTCCCTCTCTTTTTATTCCCTCCCTTCCCCTCTCTCTATTAATAAATAAATAAAATCTTTTTTAAAAACTTGAAAATTTTGTTCTTACATGCTATACAAATAGCTGAAGGTTAATTAGCAATATAACTAAATAGTACTGCTTCCAGTCTCCATCAGACAAATAAACAAAAAAACTTAAAAATTTTGTGCTTCAGAGGACACTGTCAAAAAATTAATAACCACCCACAGAATGTTTTTTAATAGTTTATTTTTTATTATTTTCTTCAAATATTTTCAAATCATAAATGTGATAAGGAGCTTATGGCTAGAATATATAAACAATGCTTATAACTCAATAATAAAAATACAACCCAATTAAAAGACAAAGGATCAAAATGGACAGTTCTCCAATAAACACAAGAAAGATATCCAACAGCATTAGTAATGAAGGATCTGTAAACTAAAAGTACAATGAGACCACTTCACACCCACCAGAATGGTTAGAAACAAGATGAGTAACAAGTATTGGCACGGATATGCAGAAATTGGCACTCCCATACACTGCTGGTGGGAATATAAAATTGTGCAGCAGCTTTGGAAAACAGAGAGGTAGCTTTTAAAGTTTTTAAAACTTCTCAACAAGCTGAACAGAATTACCACATGACCTAGCAATTTCACAATATGCCACTAGGTATATACCTCCCAAAATGAAAACATATGTCCAAATAAAAACTTGTGTATGGATGTTCATAGCAGCATTATTAATAACCACAAGGTGCAAACAACCCAAATGTCCATCAATGGGTGAGTGAATAAACAAAATGCGACATATCCATACAATGGGATATTATTTGGCCTTAAAAGGAAACAAAGTACTGCCCTGACTGGTATGTCTCAGTGGGTTGGGCGCCATCCTGTACACTGAGACAGCAGTTCAATTCCATGCTACATGGATGAACCTTGAAAACATTAGGCTAAGAAGACTGACAGAAAAGGCCACATATGATTCCATTTATATGAAATATCCAGAATAGGCCAATCCACAGAGACAGAAAACAAATTAATAGTTGTCAGAAGCCAAGGGCAAAGGGGATTGGAAGTAACTGCTAATGGGTGATTTCTTTGGGAAGTGCTGGAAATGTCCTGGTATAGCAGTGATGGCAGCACACTGTAAATTGTACTAAGGGCCAGTGAATTGTACAGTTTTAAATGGTTAATGTTATATGAGTTTTACCTCAATTTTAAAAAAGAAAATGAAGCACTTATATATGCTACTATATGGATGCACCTTGAAAACATTAAGCTGAGTGAAAAAAAAGCCAGTCACAAAAGGCCATACATTATATGATCCCCTGTCTATGAAGTGTCAAGAGCGGTGGTTGCCTAAGGCTAGCAGTGAGATGGGAGGGATGGGAGTGATAGGAAAGAGTATCTAGTTTCTTTGCAGGTTGATGAAATGTTCTAAGACTGTGGTGATGGCTGTACAACTGTGAATATACTAAAAATCATTAAATTGTGCACTTTAAATGGGTAAATTTTATGGTAAATTGTACATCAATAAAGTTCTTTTTAAAAAAAGGAACAGTGAGGCCCTGACAGACGTGGCTCAGTGGATTGAGTGTCATCCTGCAAACTGAAAGGTGGCTGGTTTGATTCTGGGTCAGGACACACACCTGGGTTGCAGGCCAGGCCCCAAGCTGGGGGCATGAAAGAGGCAACTGAGAGATGTTTCCCTTGCACATCGATGTTTCTCTCCCTCTCTTTCTCCTTCTCCTACCCTCTCTCTAAAAATAAATAAAACCTTTTAAGAAAACAAACAATGAGTTAGTGTGCATGGGATATTTGATATTAAGTAAAAGGCAGAGATAAGAATTTTTTTATTTTTTAAAGATTTTATTTTTTTAGAAAGAGGGGAAGGGGGGGGTAGAAAAACATCAATGTGTGGTTGCCTCTCACAGCCCCAACTTGGGACCTGGCCCGCAACCCAGGCATGTGCCCTAACTGGGAATTGAACCTACAACCCTTTGGTTCACAGGCCAGCACTCAATCCACTGAGCCACATCAGCCAGGGCAGAGATAAGATTTTTTTAAGTTATTTTTTAAGATTTTATTTATTTATTTTCAGAGAGGGAAGGGAGGGAGAAAGAGAGAGAAACATCAATGCGCGGTTGCTGGGGGTCATGGCGGGCAACCCAGGCATGTGCCCTGACTGGGAATCGAACCTGCGACACTTTGGTTCACGGCCCACGCTCAATCCACTGAGCCACATCAGCTAGGGCAGAGATGAGAATTTTTAATAGTGTAAATCAATGTGCTAATATATATTTTTAAAAGATTATCTTCAGGCTCCAGGGAAGGGAGCTCCCTGCAAGGAAAAAGCGGCTGGGGCGTGGGCAATGAGCTAACCTGAAGGCAGGGTGAGGAATTGGGGTCTGAAATCCTTCCTATGGGTCTAGGGATGGAGAACAAATCTTTTTATTTCTTCCCACAAAGGTGCTCCCTGATCACTAAATGATGCTTGGGAGATTGAGGGAGGGGATGGGACTTTTTCCTTTCTAATTCATTTTACAGGCTAGCTGAGGCCTGATTTCTCCCTTTGCATTGTTAAAACTATCGCCACCAGGGTCCAATGCCCCACCCTCTAATTGCCTGAAACAGTATATACTTTTCATCATCTTCCATCTTGACCTCTATAGCAAGCACTAGAGACTATTGGCCATTAATAACTAGACCTCTTCTTTCAGCTACCACAGCAGTGAATGCCTTTACCGCACAATCACTGCTACTCAGCTTCGCTTCTTACTCTGCCAAGGTAGGTGCTACCCCACAATTTTAACATCCGTTCTTCTCTTTCAGTGGTCTCATCTCCTCCTGTCCTAAGTACTCTCAAATCTCAAACCCCAGTCCTAACCCTTCTCCTCAGAGCCTCTTCCTTACACTTCTGATGGACATTTCCACAGGGACTTCATGTCAGCACTTCCAAATGACATAGGAATGGTGAGGTGGACAGAGGACACAGGAGACATGCACGAGGAGCATTGTATTCATCCAGTTTTGGCTTCAAGCCAGGAATAATCAATGGGAGAAGGAATGTTTAAGCTGGGCAAATAGGTCTGATAATAGGCAATACAGGTCGGGAAACTAGGGAGTCCTCCACAGAAGTGAATGAAGGGCACAGGGTGTTCTGGAATGAAAGGACACAGTAGAGGAGACAGCACTACTGGGGCTTTAGACAGTGAACATCTGTGTGCTTCAAGATGCCTGGGCTTGTCTTTTCAGCCATCTCTGTTAACAGTCAAAGATAAAAGTATAATAAAATACTCTGCATGGCAAAGGAAAATGGCAGGTGAGATAGAGGGAGTGATTTGGGAAGAGCTGGGGGCAATGAATTCACACAACTCCAACCATTCCCCAAAGGCTCCTAGGTAAAGCAGGTCTGCAGATGATTCCACCTGTGCCTGGTGGAGAGGGAAACTGACGCTCCCAAATGCCCCTCTAAGAGAGTGGGCGCTTCCCCACAACTCAAACACACATATTTACATTATTATTTTATTCCACTTTGGAGACTATCCCCCAGTCCTTGAGATGCATCCAAAGCAGGAGTTAAGGATCAGGCCCCATTATGATTTTTAATTATAAAATAATAAAGTCTCAGATGCTAGTAGCTCCTGGCTGCATGGTGGTAATAGGTGTGGCTGAGCCTCTCTTGTGGATGACCCAGCACCTGTATAGGCCAGACTAGACTGTTCTCCAGTTCTCTCCGTGGCCCTCACAGCCAAGGCTACCTATGCTGGGCCAGAACTAGCTGCCGGGACCAGGAGCTCACAGCACCATCCACTCGCATCACCAAAGATAGGCCCAGGAAAAGTCCCACACTGCTCACAATGAAGCCCATGGCCTCAAAAATGAACCTGCAAAAAAGGGTGGAGAATATCAGGGAACACTAAGAGGAGGTCTAGAGCCTTTTCCCTGCTGAGGCAAAACCTTGTCCACCC